GAGAGAGAGAGAGAGAGAGAGAGAGAGAGAGAGAGAGAGAGAGAGAGAGAGAGAGAGAAGGCAGTCACTTACCTTGAATGAGGATGCTGGATATGAACCGCTGAACTCTGCGCTGTTGGGCGCTTGATGACTGGAACTCCAAAACTGCTTAATATAATAATATGATAATTTGTTGGGATTTCTAAGCTGCGCTTTTCTGGACTTTGCATCTCTGGTCTCCAGTGTGGATTTTGTGTGATCTCTCGAAGTGTGTGCGTGTGTGCTCAAGGTGACGGGCAGTGAGGCTCAATGCACTTTTCTAAGGATGATTCGTTTCACTCTCTTCACTCTCTTGACAAACCACTGTGAGACCACCAGTACCTTTCCCATCTGGTGGGCCCTGCGGGCCCTGCTCGCCGCGCATTTGGGATGCATCTGTCCGCCGCGTGTGCCCGGGGCCGGCCTCCATGTTAACTGGGGGGCCATTTTTTTTGCCTGGGAAAGCCACTGGCGGTTTAAGAGCTGGGTTGAGCATTTCTTGATTAAAGCACTAGTACTTTTGTCGGTTCGGGAAATAGTCGGCCTCTGACCTTTCAGGAGGCTGAAACGAAATGACGGACGCCGATCAGATTTATTAACGGCAGCCGTTGTTGGGCCCGGCCTCCTAAAAGTCGGGACTTGGCTAAAACTTGTTGAAACCGGACGGCAAAGGTACTACCGTCTTCCCCCGAACATAACGCACCCTGATAATGAATGTATCAAAGCTATATTTCCGGTCAGATACAGCCAAAATACGGGTGCGTTGTGTTCGGGGGAAGACGGTAGTGGTTTAAGAACAGTGTTGAGAATTGTTTGACCTTTCGAGTCGTTAGTCAATCATATGGGGAGTTGGTTCCTACCATGAGTTAACTTTCCCCCCCTGCACCGCTTAACACTTTTAAATAAATTAAGAAAGGGAAAAATTGCAAGGAAAACTAGGCTACCACAGTGGCCCGGGTCCACTTGCCCGGCCGGGCGAAAATGAAATAAAAAAATAAAAAAAAATAAAAATGAATTTTTAATTAAAAATTTTAACTTAAATTTGGTAAAGAATTTCGATGTGACCCTCAGGCAAAAGTTGTTCAGTTTATTTTTTTTGCATAACATAGTTGTTTTTCGGTTTTTTTTTTTTTTTTTTTTTTTTTTTTTTTTTTGGCTGGGACCTTCCCTGGTCCTTGTACGGCCCGGCTGCACGGGAAAATAGGGTTACCCGGGCGGCCCGGATGGTAGCCTAGAAGGAAAATGATTTAAATGAGCAATAGCGAGATGACAATGTCCAGAATGCACAATCACATTGAAGGCCAGATAGTATCACAGTGTCCAGAAAAAAGAAATGCACCTGGTCCAATATAACACCAATGAAGAATCATAACCCTGAAAACCAATGTTAATGAGAGCTTGCTCTCGCCACCACCAACACGAGCATCCAGGCCCTATCTCCCTACTTGGCGCTCGGCGCCCAGCCTACTTCCTACACAGCTACAGTCTGCCTACTAATTGACAATGCAACTGTTGACGTCAGCAGCTCACGAAGTACTTGAAGATGTCGCCCATAGCAGACCATCGCCAATACCAGGTATGTGCCCTCACATCATCATCATCATCATCCTTCTCTTCTCTCCCTCATCTTACTCCCACGTCTTCCCTCTGTACACCCGAAGACCACCCCTTGCACCTCACTGTACAACCAAGGCCACAGCCAGCTATGGAGGCTGTGCTATGGCGCTGCCCTCAGCAGCGCCCTGCTTCCACACACGACCGCACGTGCGCAGCACCTTGCTCCAGCGCTAGCAGCCAGCACGCGAGCATGAGTTCCAGCAGCGCTGCCGCCAGCCAGCAAGTGCCTGAATGACCAGCCAGGCAGCGAGCTCTTTCCTATATGGAAAGAGCCTGCCTCGATTGGAGGCCTGGCTGACCTGGGCCTCGGCCCAGAAGCTTCCGGTAGGCCCCAGTATGCTGCACCTCTGCTGCGGCTACTGGGCCTCATTCGGTTGGGCCTTACAACTGTCTGTGTATGAGGCTGCGATTCTTGCCCAGGGTCTGCACTTCCGGAAAGGCCAGGAAGGCCGTGGAATTTTCTTGCTGCTCGGCCTGTGTTTCCTTTAACCAACTGGCGCGTCACAACTGTCTGGACCCCCAAATACGAAATTGACAGTCGAGGGGCTCTCGTGATTTGTTAGGCCCGCCTTCACTTAGGGTGGGCACATATGCAGCAGGGGCCCTTTAGACCTGCCGAGGACCCAGATCCTCGCAAAATCATTTAAAGTTAAAAAAAAAAAAACAAAAAAAAACGGGGTTGTTTCCCACCCTTGACAAACCCTGGTTAAGAACTGTGGTAGGTAGAATAGTGAAAGATGAAATTGAGAGAAGAGAAACTAAATATAGCTTCTGTTTTTTTTTTATGTTAAAAAAAGGAAAAAAAAAAAAAAGGAATACAGCACCGCAAGTTCAACCATTTGTTCAGGGGAGTGTATTCACAACAGGGAAAGCCGCTGCTCCAGTTTTCGCAAATTTGCCTCCAAACTGTGGACGCCTTTTCCATCTTCCGGATCCAACGGCTGATTACGAAGGGAAGCGAAAAGTGATCAGTCTGCAGTGTCGTTTGATGAAGAGGGAACATGGGTGAACGGGGTTTCTATACATTGGACTGGTGCTTAACGGCACTTGTGCCAACTCATGATGATTGCCAATGGCCTTCGCAGATGCCGATGAAGCGAACACTTACCTAATCAGAGAGGATGCTTCCTTCATGACTGGAGGGGGGGGGGGGGGG